ACAGTTTAAGCTAGTCATTACTTAAATAATTATATTATTAGTGTAAAATGGATCAGACTTATTTGTTCCGCAAATCCTATATAGGAAATTGCGGAGCGAATCCACACTTAATTGAAGTGGGAAGTTGTATGTCTTACAGTTGCGTGACCGGAACTATATCTAAGGTCTGATAATCTTGATGTACTAATTACATGACCGCATCGATAAATTGTTTCAGAATAGGAAATATTCGAGTCAGTCAAACACTGGATCGTATCCAGTTGATTAGATTGGATGGAATTTAACTGTGTCCATGTTACTTATTTTTTAAAATATAACTGATTACCTTTAACACTTTTTTTCTGGAATGGAATTAGGATCAGTGAAGATACTTCTGGAAACAAATAACCGTACATCTTAGTAGTTTCATAATTTACGGGTATTAACGAGCTCAACGCTGCGGCGCATGAATTTCCACCTGAATAAAAAAAACCCGCTGAAATACACCATGTCCGTTATGGACTAATAACTAAGTGTTTTAAGAGGGGAGAGAAGATAGACCAATTAGCGTAAGATTACGACCCCGAAATCACACAAAACAACGTCGATTTCTTATAGGTCAAGTTGGAAGAGATTAGGATCATATGCTTTGCACAAGGTCGACATATAACCTTGATAAAGTCAGCCAATCACCGTTCGGTGAACATTGACAAAGTCATAACCTATGAGAGACAGAAATTACAAAGCGATATAATATAAATAAGAAGATGGAGATTGGTGAGTTTGTACGCGTTCGTCTACAAAGTGATGCCTCCTAAAGTTGTGTCTGGTAAGGCTGCGAAGAAAGCGTCGAAGGTTAAGCTGCCGAAGGTTGATAAGAAGAAGAAGAGGAGGAGGAAGGAGAGTTATGCTATCTACATCTACAAGGTTCTTCGTCAAGTTCATCCTGACACCGGTATCTCGTCGAAGGCAATGTCGATCATGAACTCGTTTGTGAACGATATATTTGAGCGTATTGCCGCAGAAGCCAGCCGACTCTCTCACTACAACAAGAAGTCGACAATTTCGAGCCGGGAAGTGCAGACAGCAGTCCGATTGTTGTTGCCAGGTGAACTGGCAAAACACGCTGTATCTGAAGGCACGAAGGCAGTGACGAAGTACAGTGGTTCTAAATAATTTGTTTCGAGAGTTTTTATGTAGAGAACGCTTCCACGGCCCTGTTTAGGGCCACCAATTTCTGATTTTGTTTTAATTTTTCTCTAAATGTAAGTTGGGATTCGATGAGAGGTTTTCTGTCCGGAATTGCCTTGTACTTAGTGTACTTAGTTTTCCTGGCTGATATGGTGGTTTATGTCGTGACACCTTGTGAGCTATGTGTAGTGGGGACAGAGAGTTTGTGGTTTGTTGTGTTGTTAGTGCGCATGCGAGGGACCGAATCGATACTGGTACGGATGGTTTCGAGCGTGGGGTGCCACCGGAGGCCGTGTAGTTTGTAGTTGCATTGTGAGCAAAGACTAGCACAAGTGGTTGGGACCTAATATTGAGCTGGTAATCGGGGATCCTAGCCTGTTACTGCACACAGGGATATTCGTGGTTTTGTCACCCTCCATCTTGGATTGCTGGTTATCGTGTGCACTTTGGAGATGGTGAGTCATAGAGGGAGTTTACCGTCAAATTCACAATATCGGTTCGAGTCTAATGCGTATTGTAATGTTCTTCTAACGGAGCGTGATTTGACTCATTGCTCACAACACGTGCTCGTGTGGTCTTCTCATCGGATTACCTAGCTACGTAGTTTTTTTTTGAAAGACAATTGTAATGATACATAAGAATAGCGAAAGAAGTCATCTTGTCTCATTTCGAAAGATCAAGTGGGCGAATGTATGAGCGAATAACTGGATGACAGTTGGAAATATCATGGTGGGCTTTTCATTAGTTTCGTGCAACATAGTTTTCAGCAGTAAGACCAAAACGTTATTTGTGAATCACATGTTGAATCATTTTTAGATTCATTATTGGTTTTCATTTGTTAGACATTTGTAGAGACGGATAATATATATATATATATATATATTATGTGGATATTTATTTTTAATATCAAACTTGAAACAGTTAAACGTCACAAGAATAGCCATTTTTGGCAAGTAATTGTAATATTGGTTGTATTAAGTGCTAATTAATAGGCTAATGTCCGAATTTTTCTTGTTGTTCATTACAATGCTAGTGCGAATAGGGTCAACTGTATCGATTGATATTTAGTTATATCAACGTTTAATTTCGATACATTTGTCTGAACTCAGTCTGGAGCCCTTTTGGGGCTTATTGTAGTTTTCATGCACCATTATTAGACAGGCTAGTGTTCACTAGATGATATAGACGTTTGATGAACCATATAAAAGTATTACTAATATGCGAGCTATAATCACATTATTATTATCATTATTCTCAATCGATTATGTAGTTTATCCAGTAGGGCTTGATTATAAGACGTCGTGGTTAGTGCAGTTGACACTCCTCATAGAAGTAGTGTTATTGTACCAATGAACTGATCCTAGTACATAATTTCCCAATTATAGTACAGTAATTCAACGTTTATGATAACTTAGACGTATTCAGTAAATGCTTTAAGGTGAAAAAACATTTATATCAGTATTGACTGAATTATCTTACGTAGGAAAGTAGTTCACAGGCACTGATAAAGAGTATAATCATTATTTCATTTAATTCACATTTAACACAATGGCATATACTAAAATAATAGATATTGCTTATCGATGAATAAAAATACAAATTAGCCTTAATGACGATTTGGTAATTGAAATGCTGAACGTTTTCTAATGCAATTATGCGTGAACACAGTCTAGTGAATTTCTTACCGAAATATTACGGAACGCATCAGATGACACTATTAATAAGATAATCCACGGATAATTAACGTTAAATACAATGACGGCGGAACTGTGGAGAAGATATGAACGTCAATGAAATTTTGAATAGTTCCAATAATTGTCACCCCTCAATTCAATTTACTTTGGAAGCAGGGGCAAACAATGAATTTCATTTTCTTGATGTTCGATTGAAAAGAATGCCGGATTGTTTTTTTTTTACAGAGATCTATATATAGAAAACTAACATAGAATAAGCAGTACACGAATTTCCATAGTTGGGATCCAATGAGTAGAAAGAGGTAATTAATTCGCTCTTTGTCTTAAAGGATCAGTCGAATATGTTCTACTGACACAATAGATGAGGAACTATTTCAACTTCGACAGACTCTCATTAGGAATGGCTATCCACCTAGATTCGTCGATAGTAACTTAGCACCTAAACATCGTCCGGAAAATGCACCGACAATGCAAAGGAAAACTCTTTTTATGAATATGAAATTTAAAGGAGATATGGCTGCTGAAATCTTGAATAATCGGATCTCAAAATCGTAGAATAAAACGTTCTACTCAGTTAAGCTCCGAATTGTTTTCCCAAGCCGGCCTGCCATTCACATATGTGTTAAGGATAAACTTCCTCTTTGGGTCACATCAATGTGCATCTATTAATCTACTTGTTCATGTGGGGTAGGTTACATTAGCCGCACGAAGCGATCACTTTCCAAAAGCATCTTAGTACATAAAACCGGCATGGCTTTTAAAAGTAGAATGCAAAACAATAACTAGTTCAATACAGGGGCATTTAATCAACTGTGAACACATCACTCCAAAGGAGTCTTCTGTTAAAGTAATCTACACAGTCAAAGGAATTGGATCGAAGGGAAGTCGAATAAATATCTCATGCATTGCTGAGGCATTGGGAATCCATTAACTCAAGTCCGAACTTTACGTACAAAACGATTCGTCCAACCTCTTATCCTTCCTTGGCCCTAATTCCCTTTAGTAGTATGTTTTGGATTTTTCATTTTAGTTTCATTATTATTGGTTTCTTAAGATTAATGTTATGTAATTTTAAACTAACCAGTTATTGATATATATTTTCCTTGAAAAAGCTTGGACCAGATTGCCAGGCGAAACGTTGGGTTTACTTCAAATTCTTTCGCTGAGGTTTTACAAATACATTCTTCCTCTTTAATAACCAGTTATTATTATTATTACTTTAAACAAGTTTTCTTGATTATTATTCAGTTTTTATTATTATAACCTTTATGTTTGTCGTTTTTTTTTCTTCATATTTGTCCATTGAACTATTAGCTGACTCGTAAACTATTTTCTTCCTCCCACCTTGATTAGAACGCAACCTCTTTTATTATTTAGTCTCCAATCTGTTTTATGATGCAATCTTTTCTATCCTTCTATAGACCTATATTTTCATATGTAATTATATATACGAATGTACAGCTTAAAATGAAAAATTTCCTTCGCTGAATTCTATTTTTATTCAATGACATAATGGTTCATTCTAATAATCTATGGAGTAAGTAAAAATTTTGATTGGTGATTTGGCACGTGATGTTTGCCAACGAGTCCTCAAGGTACATTAAATAGTATTGAAGGTCTGTAAAGATTTCTAAACTTATGGTTCATATCACGAACTGAATCCTAACTATATAATAATTAAAAATAAAGAAATACTAGTTGTTTTGTCTTAATGTGTAGATCCTTCACAGTGAACATTTGAAATTAAATAAGGTTTGAAAGCAAGCTTTCCTTTGGATTCCGCGTCTCAGTTTGTTCAAGACTCAAGGATTGTACATTGGTGGAATCTCAGAAACTGGTTGAAAAGTAAGCTTTTTAAGTGTGATCAGCGTATTAGACTGATTCTTAAATGTTTTGCTTGCCAACTACGTTGTCTGCCACCACTCCCATTGACGAAAGCTCATGCTGTATATGGGATCTATTTATTTATTTTAGCCTGGAATCTTAGAACGTTTAAAAGGTGCTTTCAATCGAGTCTTCAATTCCATTTTTGGACATGTTAAACTTCAAACATTTTATCACGTAGAAGAAATATTTCATCATCCAAAATATGAGCCTGGTAGGTGGTCTGTTTTGTGTTAGTAAATACGATTATTGATGGAAGTAAGGTAGGTGGAGGACCTTGAGATGTTTTCTAGTCAATGAGTTACATCGCTTGGTTGTGAAATGATTTTTGATCGAAAAAAATGTGATAAAATTACAACTAATAGTTTTTTTCATTAATAGCTAACTTATCTATATGAATCATTGGGGTTTTCATTCTGAACTGACATAATTTATAATACAGGAATGAATTTCGCCCTGACATTTGATTTGTCAGTCTTCATAGTTTATTTATGCCCGTTTCTTTTATTTGCATGTCATACAATAGGGTGTGAGACAATTGTTGACCGAAACATGCTGAAAAACTCGACTGGAATGCTATGGGTTTCAAAGTATTGAACTTTTATGCCACTTAGAATTTGGCCTATTTGATTTGTTACGTGCTTATCTTCTCACATGAACTGTTTAACAAAAGAGTTTGCTGTTATCCTGGTGGTTGAAATCTGAAAAATTTAACTAAGCAAAATGGAAACTTCATGTGCAACATTAAAGAAACAGTAAATGAACATCTAGTCCAATCTCCAGAGTCCTCTTTCTTTCTATGCAGTTTAAATAAGTGGCACACAGCACTAATTTTCCCGTTCAATTACGTTGACGTACAAATGAGATTTAAAAATATTCATGGACTAAACACAGTTGCCATTCAACGTCTTTCGTGTACATCACTTTCAGAAACAGTTGAAATGTACTTGTTAACACGTTCTGAAGAAATAATGATAAAATATGTTTTCCTTACTCGCTGCAGAACGTTTCGTCTAATGTGAACTCTGAACAAAATATGGTGGACACTCAGGCAGTTTGCACTAAGGGCATTGTTAATAACGGTTGCCATCACAAATGAAGCTGTATATAAGACAAGAACACCATCATGAAAAAAAGGATAAAAACATTCTTATAAGATCATATGTCTCTCGCTTTACTAATCCAATGGCTGCTGACATTGCCTTCATAGACATATCCAAAACCACTAACTGTTAGAGTGACATTTCTTCTTTATTACATTTATAGGTGTCGTCAATTGTTATGATTTCAGCAGACTGATAAGCTATTTTCTTCTGATCTCGTGTACAGAAGAAATAGAACTGTAGATATCCGTTTATGCCATGCTGCATCTGTGCTCCGCCTCTCAACTGAATGCTGTGTGCTGAGAAGGTTTCTACACTATCTGTTAAGCCAACATTGTTAACACTATTAAAGAAACCTGGAAGTTTCGACTGCTTAAATATACGGTGACGCATATTACAGACAGCCTGTGCAATGATTCGCTTTCTGTAAGTTTCATAAACGAAGGGAGAATACTTTTCATTTGATATTCTGTCAAACGACGAGATCATGGGCTTCGCTCATGAACAACACTCAGTAATCACGTTTTTGGATCGTTGACCATCTAGTTACAGTGAACGATTCATCTGCCATACGGACATGGGCGAATGACCAATATCCACGACCAATAGCTCGTCTAATTTGTTATATACAGGATATTCGGGGAAACATACCTTTTTGTTGATGAAGATGTCATCGGCCGCTGACTATGCCCATCCATCCTACATGCATATTTGACACAAAAACCGCTCTCGTTGTAATGGCCATCCCTTATAATAAAATGACGGAAAGTATGGTGCTAACTTTTTTTCACTTGAAAATCCAACACGAACAAACATCTCTCGAAACATATTCTTCAAGTCGCTGTCCGATGTAGACATGTGAAACGGGATGACTGCGGTAGTAAAATTTGTGTAATGATGCCTTTTTGAATTTGATGGTTTTTATTCATCCGAGAGCAGGTTCTCCATTAAACAATTAGAACTGTTTTTGTTTGATCTAAAGGTAAGGGGAAAAAGGAACATGGTGATACACTTTCAAACCCAGAAAAATTTAACCTCCGGCAACAAACCATTACTCTCGATAGCAATGGATGAGGGTTGAAAACTATCACAAATTGACGGAAATTCCAAGAGCAGATCATTGTTTGAACGTGTAGCATTCCATGAGGCTTGAAAGTCCTGAATTCAATCCTTGAAGAATGGGGGGAATTTCATGAATGAGTTATAACAATTATGAGTCTAAAATTAGTATCTAACAGATGTCTACTACTTTCTGCTTCTCCATGGTTGTTTACCTGAAAACAGTTCGTGATGTAAACGACATAGTTCTATTACCACGACAAACATACTATTTTATAAAGATTGGTTAATAATATTAATAACAAAAATAATGATATAAGCAGAGATGGATAGTGTAACTTATTTTCGAGGATAGTCATTCTAAATAAAAGTTTAATGTCTAACACTTTCGGGAATTTCGTCATTCATTTAGTGAGTGAGTGCTGCATATAAGAGCATGATTTTTACTGAGTATTTTAAAGGAGTAACCTAGTGCCATATACGTATATCTTCTATGAAAACGCCACTGTAGCGCATCCCAATATGCCAGATGTAACAAGCGAATAAAGTGACAGTAATGGCTTAAAATGAAATCCACAGTGATTTATATGAACTACTGAAGAAAATTACCTTTGTTATTCTAAGGATTGAATGGTGACAAAATTCCTTCATATTTTGAACCTAACACTATTGGTCATGTCTAATTGTCTTACCTGTATCACGTGTAATACATTGTTTCTGTTGTAACAGGTGGGACTGCAGGTTTTGATAAGCAGCGTCATTCATCGATCGATTACAGTAGACACGCAAAACACGTAAGTGGATGATCTAGTGCCCTGATTGACCCTGCTTCGCTATCTAGCCCAGCCAGTTAAGTCACGAACACAATTCACAACCTCCGAGTTATTGCAAACATACATTGTTTATATACCAATCAAGCATACCACATCGTAAAATAAAAATAGAAAACAACATTTTGTACAATATTCAACAAGTGAACAGATATCGACCAATAGGAAATGTCCATTTAAAGTCCAAGGACACCATTGGACTTAACATCATAATTATTGGTCTATTCCTCCGCATCCACATCAGTTTCATAAATCATCGCACTTTGACTGCCTATTATATGATAATAGGTTATTCAGTGGTGTTTTAATTTTTAGACAGTATGGAGGAGTTCTAAATAATTCCATTCTGAATAAATCGCTTTGATAGACCCGACTCTAATGTACATGATTTTACAGTGGTTATGGTTGTCTGAATACTTTCCTTAGTGTGCTAATTAAATGAATGTTCAAAGTATGACTAAAAGCTGCTTGATTTGATATCCACCAACAGTAATAATAATAATAATAATAATAATAATAATAATAATAATAATAATAATAATAATAATAATAATAATAATAATAATAATAATAATAATAATAATAATAATAATAATAATAATAATAATAATAATAATAATAATAATAATAATAATAATAATAATAATAATAATAATAATAATAATAATAATAATAATAATAATAATAATAATAATAATAATAATAATAATAATAATAATAATAATAATAATAATAATAATAATAATAATAATAATAATAATAATAATAATAATAATAATAATAATAATAATAATAATAATAATAATAATAATAATAATAATAATAATAATAATAATAATAATAATAATAATAATAATAATAATAATAATAATAATAATAATAATAATAATAATAATAATAATAATAATAATAATAATAATAATAATAATAATAATAATAATAATAATAATAATAATAATAATAATAATAATAATAATAATAATAATAATAATAATAATAATAATAATAATAATAATAATAATAATAATAATAATAATAATAATAATAATAATAATAATAATAATAATAATAATAATAGTAATAATAATAATAATAATAATAATAATGGTACGAATTAAGGAATGGAAAGGTACAATCGGAAGAATTCTTTCAGTTAAGGAAGATACAACCACTTTTTACGAAGAAAGTAAGAGAAGGTTACAGCAGGATAGCCACTGGCTTCTATTCTGAGTCATATCTAATAACGTCTCTAGCCACTGTGTAGCACCATTTCTCGGACCCCAGCCAGAGAGTCGTGAGGGACCAACACAAGCCAGTCCTTTGCAGCTTTATTACATGCCACGAAACCATGTCATATACTCAACACCTGTTGGATAACAAATAACAAATCGACATGTGTGTGTGTTTGGTAATAAAAATCCACCTGATTCTATTACTAAATACATGGTAGAAACAATGTATAAAATTGATCTGAACTCATTTTTTTGGGTTTGTACAAAAGTTATCTGGGAAGTATACCAAGGTTTTTTGAAGCCTTGAGCACATGAAAATACAAACACAGTTGCTTCTCATCCTGAATCTTCCCGAGTAATATAGATTTATTATCCAACATGCTGAGATTCACGTCGTTCTTCCCATTATTCTCTTCATTATCCTTATTTCTTCTTATCAACCATTTGTCTGACTTTTTATTTTTCGTATCTGATGCCTTCACAAGTATATGTATGATCAGATTGTGCTTGACATGTATTGCGCTGATATATCACATAGTTCTGGTTATCTTCGTCTTCTCATTGCATCATCCAAATTTATCAAAAAGACTGATTGTTTTAATTAGATTTGTTTTGTCCTAGTGCACCCGTTTATTAGTTTCTGAAAAATTAAATCATAACTTGAAGTATCAAAGGAAACTATGATCAAACTTCGGTAACTGGATGTATTTTAAGCTTTTGATTACCATTCATTTATTCAGTCAGTCATTGTCAACATGGGATTCAGTGTGATTGCATCGGTTCAAGTTGTTTCTCTACACGTCAGTAAATCAAGAGGGCATTAATGACGTAAGAAAAACAGAATGTGAGATATTATCGAAATCAATGGTAATCTAAACATGATAGACACAGTTCATCAAAATGGAACAAGTAAAGTCGGGGAGTGTAAAGTAGAAAATGATATTCAGTTTCATGATTTATAAGAAGATTGAAAGTCAATCGAATGATAGCACGACTGGTATCGATTTGCGCCCATGCGATCCAAATTTGATGTGTTGGTCCCGGACAAGCAATCTGATTAGCAGTTAGATATGTATGCCAATAATTAGGCACTACCGACACATGGATAAACAAATGATTATATTAAACACTTAGTCAGTTAATTGAAGTTGTTAACAGTTAATAACAAGAGTGTGACAAAAAAATCCAATAACAATTAATATAAACTGGGGGAGAGATTGTCAGTCAAAATACGTCAGTTTAAACCCATTGCACAGCGACAATAGTATTGATAGTATTGTACGGTACACTGAATGATTCAATGCATGCATGAGCTATAGATTGGGAAACTTTACCGTTATTATAATAACTCAATTAAGCAATAGAAAAAGTGTATCATTCAAGGGGTCACATTTATGTATAACATGTTTTCTCAGCTGAATGACTACATTGCAACTTGGTAGAAATGATGCACAGAGAGTCTTGTATATGTAAATCCAACAAATCAATATAATTAACAATTAAAGTTAGGAAATTAACCGGTTGTTTCAGAGAGAATCTAGTTAGGAAAGGCGTACAATTACTATTATTATTAATAGCTTGTTTTCATAGTAATATAAATGTTGGCCTCACCGTAACATTTATTTTAATTAGCTGGACTACCGAAAATAGATTTTCACTTATCTCAACGGAGCATGCTAATCTATCTAATATAAACACAGATAGCAATCATAAAACACCTTGTTTCGCAAAAATGGTTTTGTGTGCTCTATTTCACTCTCATTCTAGAATGTACAAATGAATTTATTCATGTATCCATTCACTTTGACAAGGACCAAAAGTGTAGGCCCGGATGGGCAATCACAGGTAAGATTATCAGGACATACGTGTGAAAACAGCACTTGACGGTTTCAGAAGCGCCAGTGCAATTTTCATAAACCAAAAGATCTAACTCAATGAAAATAACATAACTGAAATTATCGATACTTTTGTGATTGACACTATTACCCAAGTGTTGTGCACGGTTTAGATCCGAATCCAAACACGACAAGGTATTTTCATTTTATTAGACTACGACCATAAGGTCTGTCTGGTTAGGGAGTTCGCTGAATTACGAACAAAATTAAGATGACAACATTCGGTAAGTGTTTTTGATTCGAATTCCTCAGCAGATCGTGTTCTCCCATTCACTTTTTTCACTCACACTTGTACGTTTATATCTGCTTGCACCTAACTATTTCTATTTCTTACGTTTTAAAAAATCCGACATTTTAAGGATTAAATCGTTTCAAACGTATAATTGGTGGACAATCTGTCCCACGTGGTACGTATCCATGGGCAGCATCAATTCAAGCTAAACGACATACATCGTGGTCAACATTAGTTACAGGATCCGAACAACACTACTGTGGTGCAGCTTTAATTAAACCTGATTGGATAATTACAGCAGCGCATTGTTTGTACGACAGTGGAGAAGATGATGAAATTATCAGGTGAATTTTTGGTTACATTGCTCACTTTAAGTGTAAAATTGAAGTAAAAAAGTAGTTCAAGTTACACTTGGGAATCACAAAGAAGTGGTGCGAGCTCTGGTCTCTATACACACTGAGATTTGAACTTTTCATACACAGGATCACTGAAAAGGTGATACAATTCTCTGTTTGAGATGATTTTAAAGTAAACATCTGAGCATTTCTGAATGGTCAAGCGACAACTCTCAACGCTTTCTTAATATAACCCATATACCAAATAAAGGCTAATATATTCAGCTCTAAACTATACTTTTATGAGTGTGGTGAGGCTAATGTTACCATCTACGATGTCAATGGAGTACAGTCATAACTAATCATCACTGATTGCAACCAAAAACCCACTAAGCGGTTGTATTATTACATTGACAACGGATAAAATAGGCTTCGTAATAAGTTGTGAGGGATAAAAAACACTGAACAGTTATTCACGAATTTGGATTGCGGTTACCACTGGAATTCAGATTTCCCGTTTTCGTCTTTGGTGTCCTCATTTCGATCAGATACAATTATTACCATTAACAACTGGGAACTCCAAACACTAACAAAGTCGACAGTAATTCACATCTACCTCTCAACCAAAGAAGAAAATGTTCAAGTTTTGAAAATAAGAGTTCATTTACACAAAATATAAGCAATATATTCACTGAACGAATTAGAGTAATTGATACATGTACAACTCTAGGGATTCATGTTTCCCTGATACTTCGAAACAGTTACTTCAAATGTAGCATAGTTCCATACAATTTTTTAAAATCACATGTTTATTCTAGCTTCTAATAAGCTAAACACGGCCAAGTTAGTTATCAATTCTGTCAATATTTGGCACCGAAGTACTTAGTGAGTCCAGTAAATACGCAGTGAGCTAATTGGGTTGCAGTGAAGATTGATGACAGTGGAAATTTATTGCGACTTAAGAACATCCTCAGGAATCCCATGGAATGTTGAAGGTTGTTTATGGAGAATAAGCATTGAACAAAATAACTCTTTTCAAGTGAATTAAATACTTCACCGAGGATAATGAGAACTATGAGAATTGTTATAAGGAGAAGACGCTCATTGACATATTGTGTTGAGGCGATTACTTAACATTTTCGGTTACTTGTGCTTTCTGATTGTTTCATCATTGGCTGATTGTTTGGTGATAAAGTGAATTTGAACAAAAATATTCTATCCAGATAATTTTAGCAAAACGTGAACGGATAATGCGAATAGAGATTCTGACATCAAACAACTGTTAAGGAGATTTAAAGTGATGAATTAGGTATATTGCCTCAGATAAAGAGTATCTTAACGAGGACCGATTTGAAGTACTCCATATTTTGTAAATCAAGTTGTTTGCGTTGAACAGACAATATCCAACATTGATCGTTTGTTTAAATACCGTTTATTAATTGACATTATTCTGTAATATAGTAAAAATGTCATATGTAGTTTAATAAAGTTGATGCAATGTTTATTTCTCTACTTTCTAGCTATCTACATCCAAAAATGTGGCATGTACGAATGGCAACTGAAAAACTAAGTGTGAGTTAGTATAATTGATACAAACCAATATTTCACTATACTGAAATTATTTTAGTGAGAAAAAACACGGTATATCCTAACTTTAATAGAAAGTGTAACATTTTAACCGATCAATCTGTTACCATCCTGTCAGCTACGATACCATCTTAAACCGGTAGTTATGAAAACTGAACGATAGTAGCCATTACTCTTAACCCCAGGTGGGATTAAAAAAAATCATACATGGGATATAACAAAATAGAATAAACTGTTTAAACACCACACCATCGGACTGAATAGCATTGGTGGGGAAACTGAAAATTTTTGATATCGTGTTACTCAACACAAATTAGCCATTCGGTCATATGAGTGCGCTTCTGAATTTGCACTGTAACAGCATCAAACTGTACATGTTTTTCTTAGAAAATTGATACTAATTCAGAGTTTATTCATTCTATCTTGTCGATTTGATATGTTCGAACCGCACAACTAATCTTTCGGATGGTTACTGATCCACTAGCAACTTCTAGAAGTCTGACAGATACGAGATGATTATGAAGACGGAGCACCTGAAATCTCATACCAAGTGGACAGTCATCTACAAACAAAACTCAAAAGGACAGAATTGAACGATAACTAGACTGCAACATCCCGACTATATTTTGAAGAAATCCCTATCTTGGATAACGTAAATGTTTCTTTTTCTACCGGGAGCTCTTAAATAGGACGTTCGTTCCATAATAAAATCCTACAACTTATGAAAACTAAACATGACATGCAATCTAGTGAGGTTAACTACCGCCATGCCTAACAAACGTTACCAAGCTTATTCTTTCAGAACTGATAAATCTGAATTCTGACGAACTGAACAATGTTCGCGAAAAACCCTCATCTTGGATAACGTAGATGACTCTTTTTTATAGCAAAATACAGATCTCTCTGAGTACCTACCAGTGCAAATTAGTTAGGGTTGTACTTTTCTTCCTATTTATTCTGTGCTGCTTCAAAAATAAACTGAGGTTATCGAACAATTCTACCACTTGTAATACGGTCCAGTGACGAGTGAAGTCACAACGATAATACAAGTAAGGCTATTGGTTTTCGTAACGTGAGGCAGAAACAATATTACGTGACTACGTGCTTTGCATTACTCGACATGTGCAAATATCCCAACTACATTTAGAAAAAGAGGATTGAGTTATTTTTGGATATAAACCCTTAAATGGAACACAAATGATGTAGGAATTCTGGAAAATAACTAGTTAGTGGCTAATACAACAGAAGTCAGCCAGTAAGATGCAACGTAATTATCAACATTGTTCACCGGTTTAAGTTGCCAAACCCCATTATGAAACCTTCGAAAGGAATAACAGAGTGTGAGAGGTAGTAAGAACCACTAACGGTAATATGACTCAACACCAAATATATACTTCACGAGGTTAATAAGGATTGCCAAAATAGTAAAACATCCGTGACAAACACATAATAAAATCCGACCGTTGTTGCTACCTTGACGTGGTGGTCTGGCTTGCCTATCGTGATGAAGCAACCGAGTTATACTGGCTGGAACAACTGTTCCTCAACGTCCTCCCATGTCAGACAGGTCGGTTGATGAGCGGTAAAACTAAAAGCGTTAAACCCAAGGTCCGAAGGCGAAGTCGCACTGCTGACTGTACAGAGGTGTGGCAGCAGTAAGGTGTTTCCTTCAGACAACCAGCATAACAGCGATGCTACCTTCCCACAAGGAGGGGTGGGGTTAGAAAAGGTCGACCCTAAAAATGCACACTTCACGAGGTTAATACGGATTGCCAACATAGTAAAACATCCGTGACGAACACATAACCAATAAACGGAATTACGTGAAAGATCAGTCTTGTTGGTGTTCTACTGATTCTCAACCTTCTCATAAATCATGAAACTGAATATCATTTTCTACTTTACACTCCCCGACTTTACTTGTTCCATTTTGATGAACTGTGTCTATCATGTTTAGATTACCATTGATTTCGATAATATCTCACATTCTGTTTTTCTTACAACTCCGCCTGGAGTCCCTCCGGGGGCTACTGCCGGTCCCAAGCCCGGATAAAGGAGGAGGGTTGGGCATGTGGTTAGCGTCCCCATCCCGTAGAAAACTAATTCGCTAATAAACGCTAACCAGAAAAAATTATTCAAACCTTTTAAACTCTGCCCTGGGAGTCAGAAGATCTTCATTTAGAAGAATTATGACGCCTCATGATGAAAGCCGAATCGCTTCGGGGGTTACGAGGCCAATGCCCCTTCTGACAACCAGAGCGACCATTTATTTAGGTACATGGAATGTTCGTACAATGTGGGACACCGGAAGAGCCTTCCAAACTGCTGCAGAAATGAGAAGATACAACCTAGAGGTACTTGGGATCAGTGAAACACATTGGACAACAACGACTAACTACAGGAGAACTCCTGTTATACTCCAGCCATGAAGAAGAAAATGCACCACATACACAAGGAGTTGCATTGATGCTGTCCAAACAAGCGCAAAATGCATTTATAGGATGGGAATATCATGGACCAAGGATCATCAAAGCCTCGTTCAAAACAAAGAAAGAGGGTATTTCAATGAACATCATCCAATGCTATGCGCCCACCAACGACTACAATGAAGACGCTAAAGATCAATTCTACAATAGGCTGCAATCAATCGAGAAGTGCCCAACAAAGGACCTGATCATTCTGATGAGAGATTTCAATGCCAAGGTTGGAACGGACAACACTGGATATGAAGACATCATGGGACGACACGGACTGGGAGAAAGGAACGAAAATGGTGAGAGATTTGCAAATCTATGTGCCTTCAATAAGCTGGTCATAGGCGGCACCATATTCCCACATAAACGCATACACAAAACCACATGGACTTCACCGGATCACACCACGCACAACCAAATCGACCATATTTGCATCAACAAAACGTTCAGGAGGACTATAGAGGACGTGAGAACCAAGAGAGGAGCTGATATAGCATCAGATCATCACTCGCTGGTCGCCAAGATGAAATTGAAACTCAAGAAGCACTGGACAACGGGGCGGACAATATCACAAAAGTTCAATACGGCCTTTCTCCAGGATACTAACGAACTCAACAAATTCAAGATAGACCTCAGCAACAAGTTCCAGGCCTTTCATGATCTACTCATTGGAGAAGGAACTACTGTGGAGAGCAACTGGAAGGGGATCAAAGAGGCAATCACTTCAACATGTCATGAGGTCCTGGGTCACAAGAAGCACCATCACAAGGGATGGATCACTGTTGATACACTGAATAAGATTCAAGAAAGGAGGAACAAGAAGGCAGTGATCAATACCAGTCGAACAAGAGCAGAAAAAGCCAAGGCACAAGCTGAATACACAGAAGTAAACAAACAAGTGAAGAGGAGCATCAGAACCGACAAACGTAAATATGTGGAAGATTTAGCAACGACGGCGGAAAAGGCTGCAAGAGAAGGAAACATGAGACAACTGTATGACACGACAAAGAAACTCTCTGGAAATCGCCGCAAACAAGAACGACCAGTGAAAAGCAAGGAAGGCAAGGTAATCACCAACATTGAAGAGCAACAAAACAGGTGGGTAGAACACTTCAAAGAACTCTTGAATCGACCAGTTCCACTGAACCCACCCAACATCGAAGCAGCACCCACGGACCTCCCAATCAATGTTGGCTCACCAACAATTGAAGAAATCAGCATGACCATCAGACAAATCAAGAGTGGCAAAGCAGCAGGACCGGACAACATTCCAGCAGAGGCACTAAAAGCAGACGTAGTGGCAACTGCAAGGATACTCCACATTCTCTTCAATAAGATTTTGGATGAGGAACAAGTACCAAAAGACTGGAAAGAAGGACTCCTGATCAAAATACCGAAGAAAGACGATCTCAGCAAGTGCGATAACTACGGGGGCATCACTCTTCTCTCAATACCGGGAAAAGTCTTCAACAGGGTATTGTTAAACAGGATGAAGGGCTCCGTAGACGCCCAACTTCGTGACCAACAAGCAGGATTCCGTAAGGATAGATCGTGTACAGACCAAATCGCAACTCTACGAATCATTGTGGAACAATCAATTGAATGGAATTCATCACTCTACATCAACTTCATTGACTACGAAAAGGCATTTGATAGCGTGGACAGAACAACACTATGGGAACTTCTTCGACACTACGGAGTGCCTCAGAAGATAGTCAATATCATACAGAGTTCATATGATGGATTACACTGCGAAATCGTGCATGGAGGACAGTTGACAAAGTCATTCGAAGTGAAGACCGGTGTTAGGAAAGGTTGCTTACTCTCACCCTTTCTCTTTCTCCTGGTGATCAACTGGATCATGAAGACGTCAACGTCTGAAGGGAAGCGCGGGATACAATGGACATCTAAGATGCAGTTGGACGATCTAAACTTCGCAGATGATCTGGCCCTTCTATCCCAAACGCAACAACAGATGCAGGAGAAGACAAACAGTGTGGCAGCAGCCTCAGCAGCAGTAGGTCTCAATATACACAAAGGGAAAAGCAGGATTCTCCGATACAACACAGAATGCACTAATCCAATCACAATTGACGGAGAAGATTTGGAAGATGTAAAAACCTTTACGTATCTGGGCAGCATCATTGATGAACAGGGTGGATCTGATGCAGATGTGAAGGCGCGGATCGGTAAGGCAAGAGCAGCATATTTACAACTGAGGAACATCTGGAACTCAAAGCAACTGTCAACCAACACCAAGGTCAGGATTTTCAATACAAATGTCAAGACAGTTCTCTTGTATGTGGCGGAAACCTGGAGAACTACGAAAGCCATCATCCAGAAAATACAGGTGTTTATTAACAGTTGTCTACGCAAAATACTTCAGATCCGTTGGCCGGACACTATTAGCAACAACGTACTGTGGGAGTGAACAAACCAGATCCCAGCGGAGGAAGAAATCAGGAAGAAGCGCTGGAAGTGGATAGGACACACATTGAGGAAGGCACCGAACTGCGTCAC